GCTGTCCTGGGGAGCTGGAGTCTGACCTTGGCCGGCAGTGCACAAGCTTCGGCCTCCTAGGACTGGCCTGGAAGCCCAGCCCTGCCCTCTCCTAGCTGTAAGACTTTGGCGGTCCCTCCTTGATCAGAGGGGACCCCTCTCACCACCCATGAGTACACAGGAGGGGTGCCCCAGCTTCCTCAGCCCCCAGGGGCAGCCGTGAGCCTCTGCCCTTCCTGGCAATGCCAACCTCTGCTTAGCCTGGGGCAGGATGGGCAGGGATCAGAGTATTAGCTCCAGGGCGAGAGCTCAAGGAGAGGGATTTTTGGGCCGCGGCTGGGACAACTGGGCCAGGGAGCAGGGAACGAAAACTGCCCGGTCAGCCCTGTTTTTCCTAAAAAATATCCTATCATTGGCCAGGCGCGGTGGCTCACACCTGTAATCCCAGCAGCACTCTGGGAGACTGAGGCGAGAGAATCATCTGAGCCCAGAGTTCGAGACCAGCCTGGGCAACATAGCGAGGTCCCATCTCTACAGGAAATTTAAAAATCAGCCAGGGGTGGTGGTGGTGAGTGCCTGTCATCCCAGCTACTTGGGAAGCTGAGGAGGGAGGATCGCTTTAGTCCAGGAAGTTGAGGTTGTACCACTGTCCTCCCGCCTGGGTGACAGAGTGAGAAAAAAAATCCGGCTGCTTTTCAGTCAATTAGCAAAGGTAATGACGTGGATAAGAGTTTTCACAGAAGACCAGGCCGTTGGTTTGTGTGATCTGGGTGCTTGCACACCATTCACAAGGAAGCCTGCCCATCAGGACCCAGAAAGTAGCCGGCCTGTAGGGACTTGGCTGGGATAGGGCAGATGGCCCTGACCTCAAGCTGCGCCTGCCCTGCCTTCCCAGGTGCTGCCGGCCAGTTGGGAAGGCTACCTCTGAGGTGGCCGTGAGCCGTGTGCCACTGCACGCCAGCCTGGGCAGCAGAGTGAGCCTCCAACTCAAAAAAAAAAAAAAAAAATCTCTCCAAGCCTGTTTCCACATCCAGAAAATGGGGCTAAACACCCACCCGGCCTCTGGCTCCCTGGGGGCCTTAGACACCCACGAGCCGGGGCAGCGGCAGCGAGTGGCCCGAGGCTCGGGGGGACGCGTGGCACCACAGAGATCGCGTGGCACCACGGAGGCCAGAGGGCAGCCGCTGTGTCGCGCAGCCTGGCCGAGCACGGCTTACCGAGTAGCGTCTCCAGCGGGCCACCAGCTCATCCTCGGTCCCTGCCTCTGCCGCGGGCTCCGGGCCCTCCTGCGCCAGCGTCTGGAGGCCACCCTTGAAGGTGCCAACCTCCGCCTCCAGCCACTGGGCCTGCTGCTCCCAGGCTCCCCTGGACCGGACCAGGTCCTGCAGACGCTGCTCCTCCTCCTCCCGGAGGTGACACAGCTTCTCCAGAACCTTCCTCATCTCCTCCAGCTCCCGGGTGATCTTCTCGGCCCCCAGGGGAGAGGTGTTCCGAATGACCCCGGCGGCCTCCTCTTCCAGCCTCCTCAGAGACTCCTCGCCCCTGGGGAGGTCCTTGGTGATGTCCTGGAGGGGACCGGGAGTGAGAACGAGAGACACACCGCGGAGTGTGACAGAGCGGAAGCAGGAATGCCATGGGGAATGCTCCTTCCTAGGCTTGGGGTCGGAGCCAGAGGAGCCTTCCCGGGGCAGCCGTCTGCCTTCACCAGCGTTGACGCCAGACCTGAGAACCTTACTCCTTCCCCGAGTCCTCTTCAAGCCATTTGGCCAAGTCAAGGAAAAAGCCCCTCTCTGTCCCTGATGCTTTCTGACATGTGTTATTCTTTTCTCACAAAGAGAGACACACAGCTTCAGGCTCTGAGCTTTTCACGGGCAACCCCACGGAGCCGGCAGCACCCAGCCACGCCATTTGGGTTCACTGTATTTATTTGTTTGGTTATCCACCATGTGTGAAGGGTGCTGGTGGTTCCATTGATGACGGTGATACAAGTTTTCTTTCTAAATTCACTGTCATCAATTTTTTTTTTTAAATGAGCCATTTTAGCCTGGCAGGGTGGCTCATGCCTGTCACGCCAGCCCTTTGGGAGGCAAAGGTGAGAGGATTGCCTGAGCCCACGGGTCTGAGACCAGCCTGGGCAACATGGCGAGACCTCGTCTCTACAATAAATCAAAACATTAGTCGGGCGTGGTGGCGCGCACCTGTAGTTCCAGCTACTTGGAAGGCTGAGGCGGAAGGATCGCCAGAGCCCAGCAGGTTGAGGCCGTGGCGGCCGTGAGTGTGCCACTGCGCTCCAGCCTGGATGACAGAGTAAGACGCCAACTCAAAAAAAAACAACAAAAAAAGTGGGTCATTTTAAAACGAGTGTTAAAGACAGGCAAGTGCTGCACAGTTTTGGTAAACATTATAAAATCACTCTTTTAAAAATATTTGACTTTTATTTTGCGCAGAGACGGGGGCTCACTATGTTACCCAAGCTGGACTCAGACTCCTGGGCTCAAGCAGTCCTCTCACCTCAGCCTCCCAAAGTGCTGGGCTTAGAGGTGTGAGCCACCACGCCTGGCCCGATCCCTGAACGACTGGAGATATTTTATCCACGCATTTACGGAGACGGTCAGTGGCTCACTCAAGGCCTCGCAGCCGGCGAGAAGGGCCAGAGTGGACCCAGTGTCCCCAACTGCCCAGTGTTCTTCCGTCTACTGACATTGGGCTGGATAAGTCCTGTCACAGGAGCCATCCTGTGGGCTTCCGCATGTCCACACGCTGCCAGGAGCAGCCAACCCTCAGCTGCGACAGACAAAAACATCTCCAGCCGTGGCCAGACGCCCCCATCTGAGACATGCCAAGCTGTGTGGCTGCAGCCCTGGGTTTCCAAACACCCTGCGGGCCCAGAGATGCCTGCAGGCCAGCCGAGGCCCAAACACGGGGTCCCAGACCCCTGGCTCCCCCTGGAGGGTCTCTAGGCATGGGGTTGGTGTCCCCCGAGCCCCCCAGCAGCATTCTCCTACACAATCGGCCACATCGAAGCCAGGTCTGAATATCCCGCTCCTCCCTCTGAGCTCCGGCGGGGTTACCTGCAGTGCCAAGAGGCGGGGCGAGGTGGGCAGCGGGCAGCCTCGCCCCAGGCAGCCATCCAGCTTCTCCACCAAGGCCTTCAGCCACTGCTGGAACTCGTCCATGCCCGCCTGGTACTCCTCGTGCTCCCGGGTCACCCGCTCCAGCAGGTCTACCCGGTCCTGCGGGAGGGAAACCGTCACCAAGGGGCCCAGCCCAGGCTGCTCCGGCCCCCGAGCCAGAAGGCCCACGGCCTGCCCGTACGTGGGTGCACCTGTCGGGGAGAGGGATGTCACCCACTCTCGGGCTTCTCTCCGGACCAAAGAGACCCCAGAGGCTCCGTCCTGCCGTGGGGGCGAAACGCCCAGAGACTTGGCTTGGGAGGTCCAAGCGTGGTGACCCTGGGCCCTGTCAACGGTGCGGCTGACTCTCCCTCCAGCCATGTCCTGGGAAGGGCAAGACTGGGCATGGTAGTGGCCATGACAGTGACCATGACATCTCGCTAATCGTGCTGAGCTCTCACCACTGGCAAAAGGAAGCGACTCAGCCAAGGCCACCCAGCTAGGAAAGTGCCGTGAGGCTGGGCCAACCGGCATTTCTAGCTCCGGTGCACAGTGGTGCAGCAGCGTCTGCAGGGTGTGCCAATCCGGCAAGCCACCCCCTCTCCCAGGAATACGGCACGCTCGCTCCATGGGTTGGGATCATCTCGGTTTTCAGCCAGTCCCACTCAGGGCCTAACCACACAGGAGCAAGATGAGGGCTTGGCCGTGCCCCTGCTTGAAGACCTGCTGTGCAACCAGAGACTCTGTTTTTCAAACCACACCCTGATCACAGATCTGTCTCCCTAAACCCCTCCATGGCTCCCCAGTGCCCCCAGGCTCAAGTCCAAGCCCTGCAGCCGGCATTCAAGGACAGGTCCCCATGATGTGGTTCTATGGTCTAGCGGTCAAGACCCTGACCTTGGGAGCCCACTGCCTGGGGCTTGAACCCTGGCCCCACCCAGAGCACATAATTAACCCTCTGGAATGGGGTAAGATGAACCAGGTCAGAGCTTGCATCACCCCAGAACCACACATGGCGGTGGAGAGCACACAGTCACCGGCGGGAGAGGCTTAGCAACCCCAAAGCACCGCCGACCGTCTCCCATTTCCCCCCACTATTCTCGCTGCCCCAGTGGGCACCCAACCACCCAGCCACACTGGCCCCCAGTGCCCCCTGCCCGCTGCCCTGGGGTGAATTAACAGTCTTCCTTCTGTGTCCTCAACTCAATCACTGCCTTGTCTGGGGCACTGTTGCCTTCTGCGGGAGCCAAGAGTTCCCTGGGGACAAGGCGGTCCCTTGTGACTTCGTCTCCCAGGGCCTAGCGCAGGGCAGGCTCTGTGACTGCACACAGCATGGCAAGAAGAATAAGCCTGGAGTGTCCGCCATCGAGGGAGGGTTTCAGGAAGAGCCTGGCATTTAATAAGCACCCACGTGTGCCTGGAACCTCAAAGCACTGCCATTCTGAGTAGGGGTCTCCCTCTGTTACCCAGGCTGCTGTGCCCTGGCATGATCACAGTGGTCACAGCTCACGGCAGCCTTGGCCTCCTGGGCCCGGGCGATTCTTCCGCCTCAGTCTCCCAAGGAGCTGGGATGACAGGCACACGTCACCACGCTGGCTAATTTTTTTATTTTTGTAGGGACGAGATTTTGCTATGCCGCCCAGGCTGATCTTGAACTCTTGGGCTCCAACCATCTCTCACCTCAGCCTCCCAAAGCGCTAGAATGACGGGCATGAGCCACCTTATTTAATGCTCACACCGACTGTAAAACCCTCCTGTCCTGCAGATGTCCAAACTGGGGTTGGGACGTCACAGAACTCCTGCGGGCCTCCCAGAGGGCATTCGGACTGCGAGTGTCAGGCTCCCAAACCACACCCGTTTCTGGCAGGGGCTGGGCAGGGGATGCCCAAGTCCCCAGTGCCCCCAGGCTCAAGTCCAAGCCCTGCAGCCCGGCATTCAAGGCCAGGTCTCCATGATGTGGTTCTATGGTCTCGCGGTCAAGACCCAGACCTTGGGAACCCACTGCCTAGGGCTTGAACCCTGGCCCCACTCAGAGCACATAATTAACCCTCTAGGATGCGGTAAGATGAGCCCAGGTCAGTTTGCACCACTCGCCCATTGTGGGTCTCTGCTGCAACTTCTCGACGGCGTGCAGTCCTGATGCCAAAGCACAAGTGCAGCCATGGACACTGCGCTAAGATGGCTGCGTGCCAATACAGCCTCCACTGTCCACCCCGAAATGGGGGTTTCGTGTCATTTCCATGCACCCTGACCCATGAACAGTTGGCTTTTCATGTCTCCCAACGATGTAAAATTGCAATAACCATTCTCAGCTCACACATCACACAAAAACAGGAGAGGGACTGGACGTGGCACATGGTCCATAGTTGGCTGAGCCTGGATTCTCCCCGTGGAGCCAGACCCACGTCCAAGAGGGTGCTGGCCATCTGCAGAGCTAAGTCAAAGGTTCTCACCTGGAAAGAAGGGACAGGCAAGGAAATCTGAAGACTCCCCCTAGCTATTTGGTAAATGACTTCCCTTCCCTGCGGAAGACGCTCGACCAGTCCAGAAACGCTAATTTAAGCCTTTGCAAATGCCATCACAAGTAGGAGAAAACATCCCCATTTTCGAGATGGGGAAGCCCAGGCTGAGGACCAAGCTCTCTCAAAACACAGGTGTGGCTGGGCACGGTGGCGCCAAGCTGGGTGACCGAGTGAAACCCTGTGTCTAATCAAAAAAATGTAAAAACCAAAACCAGAGGTGCTGCTTGCAGGAGATGTCTCTTCGTGCTCCCTGCCTGTGGCCCTGGGGACGGTGCCGGACACCTCCTGCAGGGTGACTTGTGGCCATCCAGCCCTCCCTCCTGGCATCCACAAGCAAGGCGGACCGGGAATGGCCAGCGAGGCTGAGGCTGATGGTGACAAGTGCGGCGGGGATGGAGCTCTCCTGTGAGCGACCGGGTGCTGGTGCCCTTGCAGGCCAGGGTAAACACAGTCCGCGTGACCGACGGGCACAGGTTTGTGGGAGGCGGCCGGCAGGCAGGGATCCAGACTGATCCGTGCCCGGCAGAACCCAGCCACAGCCAGGCCCGTGCGCCGGAGGAAGACAGGGCGACAGATGGAAGGTGCTCAAGCCTCGTGAGATCCAACAGTGAGTCCATCCATCTGCGCTGGGCAGAGCCGGTAGGAGTGTCAAAGCCCGACCAATCCTCCAGGCTGGCACTGCGGAGGCATCAGGAGATGCGGATAGCTCTGCTCTCTGTGCAGTTGGCCTTGGGGACGAGGCCACATGCCACTATCTGCTGGCCCTTCAGAAAACGGAGCCAGGGCCATGGCCTTGCTAAGCTCTGGTCTGGCTAGGGGGCTCTTTGAGCGATGGCTGCCATTGTTTTCCTGGCTTTGGCCCCTCTCCCAACCTTGGGAAGGCGAATCGCCTCTCCCTCGCCAATTTACTTTTTGAGTAAACAATATTTTTCTATCTAAAAAAAAAGAAAACGGAGCCAGTGGACGAAAACACACATGCGCGCCCTTCCCCGGCCGGCCAGCTTTGTCCACACCTGGCTTCCAAATGCCTTGGGTTGAAGTGTGTGTTGCTTCCCTCTGGGCTTGGCTGGCCACGAATTCCCCTCCACCAGGGCCAGGAGGCCCCCACGGCGCCCTGTGGTCCCGTCCCTCTCAGCGCCTGAGGCCTTGCGAATTAACAGGGCAGACGTCAAAATGGGCTTGTGTGGGTGAGGAAGCCTGTCGCCCAGCATGAGGAATGGGCTCTCGCTGGTGGAAGCAGAGGCGTTAGCATGGACCGCCACCGAGAGCCTCTCCCACCCCGAGGGTCGCCTGGCCCTGGGAAGACACCAGGACTGATGCTTGGAGGGCCCTGGCCTGTTCTGGGGTCGGAGGTCTGCCTGGAGGGAGCCCTTTCATCCAGGGCAGGGTCTTCACCAGGGAGGCATCGGGGCCACTGAGGATCTCCGAGGGCTGCTGGACAGGCAGAGTTCCCACCCTGCTTGGGACAGGGCCAGAAAGCCTTTCTCTGTCCAGGCCTGGAAGGCTGGGGACACCCAGGAGGTCGGTGGCCAGGGCTGAGTCCCACCTTGCAACGAGGGTCCTGGGGTGGGAAGGCCAAGTCTCTCGCAAGGCCAAGGGCGACGGAAAGGTCTGCGGCCCGCAGGAGCGGCCCGTCGCTTGAAGGTCATGGCACCCTTGGGGAATCTGATGGGAGCTGAGGCTTCTTGTCCCATAAAGCGCACGCTCCTTCAACATTTTAAATAGAACTTCAGGGCCATGGCCTTGCTGGACTCTGGTGTGGCCATGTGCTCCTTGAGCTCTGGCTGTCGCCGTGCTTTCTGGCCTTGGCCCCGCCCCCACCTTGGGGAAGTGAATCTTCTCTCTCCCTTCTCTTTCTGTCTCTACTTTACTTTTAAATAAACTTTTCTTTCTTAAAAAAAAAAAAAAAAAACCGGGCTCGGTGGCTCAGCCTGTCATCCCGCACTTTGGGAGGCTGAGGTGAGTGGATTGTCTGAGCCCGCGGGTTCCAGGCCCGCCCGGGCAACTTGGCGAGACCTCATCTCTACCATAAATCAAAAAATCAGCCGGGCGTGGTAGC